CTGCGTACAAGGCAACAACCCTACCCGCTGTGCTATCGCTCAGCCTTCAGAGAGTCCATATGACGCCTCATCATGTTCCCATCCCCTTTGTTGCCTAATTCAGTGAGCCCAAGAGTTGAAGGTGTGCTGGAGCCACCGATAGGGCAGGGCTCAGGTACCTACCACTTGCACATGGCCAATCTGGGTGCGATCCCCAGCAGCCCATATGGTACCTGGAGCCTTCCAGAGCCAGGAATCAGCCCTGAGAACTGCCAGGTATTTCCCAAAGCAGATTCAAATAAAATAAGGGGGATCAGAGCAATAGCACTGCAGAGAGGGCATTTGCCATGCACGCGGCTGACCCCGGTTCAACTCCTGGCATCCCATACTCCCCAAGCACTGCCAGGAGCAATTCCTGAGTGCAGAACCAGGAGTAACCCCTGAGCATTGCCGGGTGTGACCCCAAAAGCCAAGAATAAAATAGAATGAAATTAGGGATTTCCATGAGGCTGGAGAGAGCCTCCAGGGATTAAGGCACTTACCTCGCATGGAGCCAACCTGGATTTGATCCCTAGCATAGGGGCCCCGAGCAATGCCAGAGTGAGCCCTGAGCACTGTCAGGTGTGGTCCAAACACACACAGCCCAGAGAGAGAGAGAGGAGAGAGAGAGAGAGAGAGAGAGAGAGAGAGAGAGAAGAGAGTTGAAGACACCTGAATCGTTTTCCCTGTCCTGCTGTTCCTAATTCCCAGATGAGTCAGCTGAGGTCATTCTGAGTAGGTTGTGTGAGACTTTCCACCCAAGTCTGAGTGAGCCCCGGGACCAGCTGCCTTCTCTGAATCCCGTGGACACACGCACCTGGGCATGCACTCCCTTGCTTGCTCATTCGTGCATTTGGAGAATGATTCACAGCCCCGGCTCTGGAGCCAGCCTAGCTGGGTCCGAGCTGTGGCTCTGCTGCTTGCCAGCTGTGTCACGGGGGCCAAGGACTTCACCTCCACAAGCCTCGGCTCCCACACCTGTGATGGGATCCCAGCTCTGCATCTGCTCCCTGGATGTCAGCCGGCTTCTCCCAAGGGAATGGGCTTTCTACGGAACTGACAATGGTGGACTCTTAAAAGCATTAGACCCTCGGGCATGAGAGTAGGGAGGGCTCCCTGTGGGAGGTGACAAAGGGTACCGAGTGCTTTCTCACAAGGTAGCAAGTATGCAGCTGCGAGCCAGCCAGTCTCTGCCCTCTTCTGAGTCTCCAGCTTCGAGGAAGATATTGTCTTTTTACGGAAACTCTAAGGATTGTCAAGAGAGAAGCATGAGCACTGATCTCCCTATCCCTGACTCTCACACCCCCGTGGACTCCTCATCTGTCCCCACGTCTCTGCACTTGCTCAAGTTCTGTCAAAGGTGGGGCTGGAGTGACAGCACAGCGGGTAGGGCGTTTGCCTTGCACACAGCTGACCCGGGTTCAATTCCCAGCATCTCATATGGTCTCCTGAGCACCGCCAGGAGTAATTCTTGAGTGCAGAACCAGGAGTAATCCCTGTGCATCGCCAGGTGTGACCCAAAACAGCAAAAAAAAAAAAAAAAAAATCCAAGTTCTGTCAAAGGCAACTGCATTCACGGTTTTCCAGATAATTGGCTTATTTCACCTGTGGGGTGTGGGAATGTTTTTGTTTGGGTTCGTACCTGACACTATGCTCAGGGCTGACTCCTGCTTCTGTGCTCAGGGGTCAGAAGACCCCGGGCTGTGTCAGAGATGAAACCAGCGGTCAGCCATGTGCAAAGCAGGTGCTACTGAGCTCACTCCCAGCCCTGGGAGATGTTTTGGAGATTCATCCTCCCTGAGGTCTGCGTGGCGGCTGGCACATTCTCCGAGTATGAGATATGCCACGTTTTATTTATCCAACACCCACTGAGCCACAGAGACTCAATGGGCGTGGGGGATTCTGGTGGGGACATGGCAAACGTTCCCAGGAATGACTGTGGTGCTGGGCATCTGGACGAACTCACTGGTGGCGTGAGTGCTGAATATCCTGTAAAGTGAAATTGGCTTCAAGGAGAAAGATTAAGGTAGAGAGAGAGGGGTGGCCAGTGGGTAGAGAAAGGGGACGGGGGAGAAAGAGGAAAGATAGGGAGAGAGAAAGAGGAGAAAGGGAGAGAGAGATGAAAGAGAGAGAGACAGAGACAGAGAAAGCCAAGAATTTTGTGTTGGTCTTATTGTATTTTTTATTTGGGACTTTTACTCCATTTTTTTTAAATCAGGAAATGTTCCATCATAAGCCTGAATTTCCAGCTTTTCCTGAGAAGTCAGAGGGTTTGTCAGTGCTGAGCCCCATCCCAGGAGGATAAGAGTCTTATTACATGTTAATTAGTTACACCCTGGGCCAAGAGACAGTAGCGCTGGGAGGGCGTTTGCCTTGTACTCAGTCGACCCTGGGTTCCATCCTCCTCACCCCATAGGTCCCCTGAGCCCTGCCAGGAGTAACTCCTGAACCCAGAGCCAGGAGTAAGCCCTGAACACTGCTGGGTGTAACCCCAAATACCAAAAGGAAAAAGGGAAAAAGAATAAGGAGCCCAGGTGATAGTACAGTGGGTAGAGAGTTTGCCTTGTACACAGCCAACGTGGGTTCAATCCCTAGCACCCCATATGGTCTCCTGAGCCTGCCAGGAGTGATCCCTGAGCCCTGCTGGATGTGGCCCCCAAACAAAACAAAATAAAAAAATTCATTACAGCCAAATAAATAGAAACCCCCTGCATTCCCCCCTCCCCAAACCAAAATATGCCTGTAAAAAAATGGTTTTTTTTTAAACAGGGTAAGGAGGGCCCCTTTTCTCTTTACTGTCACCAATACTTATTATAATTATCCTTTTTAATTTAAGTCCCTTCTCACAATGTGATATAGTAACTTTTTGTGGTTTTGGGTTTTGTGTTCCCCAGTAATAACTGATATAAACAAACACTGTCCAACAAACACTGTCCTCCCGTTGTTCATCAATTTGCTCGAGCGGGCCCAGTAACATTTCCATTGTGAGACTTGTTGTTACTGTATTTAGCATATCGAATATGTCACAGGTGGCCTGCCAGGCTTTGCCGTAAGGGCGAGATACTCTCGATAGCTTGCTGGGCTCTCCAAGAGGGGTAGAAGAATCAAACCTGGCTCGGCTGGGCTGGCTGTGCGCAAGGCAAACACCCTACCACTGTGCTATCACTCCAGCCCAACTGAGATATATATATATATATATATATATATATATATATATATATATTATGTGTACCTTTTAATCATCTATATGTCATTAAGTGTTTTTGTTTGATAATTTTGGGGATCACACCTGCCAGGGCTCAGGGCTTACTCCTAGCGCTGTGATCGGAATCTCTCTTGGTGGTGCTCGGAAGCCCATATAGGACACTGGGGGTGGAAGAGGGTCTGTCTTGTGCAAAGCAGGCTGTCCCGCTGTACTGTCACTCTGACCCAAGCAAAGGCTTGTTGATTTTGGAATCAGAGAGGGGAAGAGAACAAAGCCTGAGGAGGACCGAGACAGGAACAGAGCCTCTGCATGCCCATCTGCTCTACTGATGGGCCGCGCCCACAGTGCCCAGGTGCTACTCCTGGTTCCATGCTCAAGGGGCATCAGGAGACCCTCTGCAGTAGTGGGGATAGAACCCTCTCCCAGACAGCAGGAGAACCAGTGCAGACTCCCCGGCCACACTCTCCCCACCCCCCCCACTCCGTGCCCTGTCCCTCCCTCTCTCCCATCTTCCTTCCCTCCCTCCCTCCTTTGTTCCCTCCCTCCTTCTTTTGCTCACTCCCTCCATCCTTTCCTCCTTCCTTCCTTCCTTCCCTACTTCCTTTCTTCCCTCCCCCCTTCTTTCTCTCCCTTCCTCCTTCCTTCCTTCCCTCCTTCATTCCCTCTCTCCCTCCCTCCTTCCTTTCCTCCCTCCTTCCTTCCCTCCCTCCTTCTCTCTCCTTCCTTCCCTCTCTCCCTCCCTTCCTCCTTCCATTCCTCCCTCCTTCCTTTCTTCCCTCCCTCCTGCCTTCCCTCCCTTTTTCCTTCCCTCCCTCCCTCCCTCCTTCCCTCCCTCTCTTCCTCCTTCCTTCCCTCCCTTCTTCCCTCCCTCCCTCCCTCCTTCATTTCTTCCCTCCCTCCTTCCTTCCCTTCCTTCCTCCTTCCTTCCTTCCCTCCCTCCCTTCTTCCTTCCTTCCTCCTTTTTTTATTTCTGATTTTTGGGATTACACCCAATGGTGCTCAGGGCTTACTCCTGACTCACTCCTGGCAATGCTCAGGGGGCCATATGGAGCACCGGGGATCGAACCCATGTCAGCTGTGTGTAAGGCCAGGCCGTACCCCTGTCCTGTCTCTCCCGCCCAACCACACAACTCCTCAGGCTCCCAGGGCCCTGGGCTGTCGCTCACCACCGTGTGCAGCCCTGGGCTCCTTGCCCAGCTCTGAGAAAGCAAAACAAACAAAAACTCAGGTTCCCAGGGAACCCTATGATTTGGAAACCCTCTTCCCCTCTCCCGGGTGCCCTGTTCTCCCGCTCCTCTCTTCCTTGGGTGCTTGGTTCTCGTCCCCTCGCTTCCACCCTCTGGTCTTGGGGCGTCTCCGTGCCCCTCCCTGCGACCTTGTCACTGAGTCGGGATTAGAACTCAGCTCCCAGTGCCGCCTGACTCATCTGCCGGGCCTCTGGCTGTTTGGTGAGGCGGGAGATGCGGGTGGGTCAGTCTCCCAAGTCTCCCGAGGCTTCTTCCTGCTCCCCCCACCCCACCCCTCCACTAGCTGCCAGGTCCAATTAAGTCTCTTCAGCAGCGAGTGTGGAGGGGCGGGCAGGCGCCACACCCCCGTCTTCATGTCTTCCTCATCCTCTTCCCTCTACCCGGAAACAGGCTGGGCCGGTTAAAGACCGTGTCCGCTGTGGCCGGGAGGAGGGGCCCAACGGTATGACCCGCAAGGGCTGGCCTGGTGGGCAGCGGCGGGGAAGCTGATGGCCAGCGCGGCCCGCTGAGGAGAGGCGCAAACTGCAGAGAGCCGCTGGCTGGCGCTGTGCATGGACCGCCCTGCAGGCGCACGGGCCAGGTGGGAGCCGCGGAGGGCGCGCCGGGGCGGGCTGGCAGGGATGCGGGAGGGAGGGCGGGCAGGAGCCGCTCAGCCCTGGCCTCTCCCGCAGGGCCCCGATGCCAGCCTCGCTCAGTGTCCGCATCTGTCTGCTCCTTGGGCTCGTGGGTAAGTTCCTGGGGAGAAGTGGGGACAGGGGAATGCCCCCCACATCTCTTCCAGTTCTGACTCCAGCTGGTGCTGAGCAGGGAGCGGGCCACGCCTGCACTTTCCTTCCCGTTCAGATGGGTCTCCGGGTCCTCAAGCGGTCAGCGCAGACCTTGTCAGAGTCCTTATTCCCGGCTCCTTTCGCTGTTAGTGAAGTTGTGTCCTTCCTCTCCACCTGTCTGTCTCTCCATGTCCGTCTATCTCCCTCTCCGCGCATGTCTCTGTCTCTCCATGTCCATCTGTCTCTGTCTCTCCGTGTCCATCTGTCTGTCTGTCTACCCATGCCTGTCTGTCTCTCCATCTCCTCTCAGCATCCAAGTCTCAGGGGGTCTCACTCTGTCACTTTCTCCCTCCCTGTCTCCCCCTCTCTCCTGGTCCCTGACCCTGGCGGTCCCTAACTCCCCCTCTGCCCACGCACCCACCACCAGGACTCAGCCACGCGGCCACAGAGAAGATCTACAATGGCACGGAGTGTGTCCCTCACTCCCAGCCCTGGCAGGTGGGGCTGTTTGAGGGTGCCAACCTGCGCTGTGGGGGTGTCCTCATTGACCGCAGGTGGGTTCTCACAGCTGCCCACTGCACTGGCAGGTAAGCCCCTTTCCCCGCACGCCCCTCTGTCCCAGGGTGCAGAGGAGCAGAGAGAAGAGGTCATGTGGAGGGCACAGTGGGGTGGGTGTGGCTGGACTGTGGTGTGCCTGCTGCCAACTGTGGTGTCCTGGGTTCAAACCCCAGCACAGATAGAAAAACAAACCAGGGTGGAGCCAGTGGAAAAGAGAAGGGGGGAGAGAGACAGAACAGCAGAAGGAGGAGTGAGCTAAGGGACAGAGGGGCGGGCAGAGCAGAGAGGGGGTGGGAGGAGGCACTGGGAACCCCCGCTGAGTCCCTGTGACACCCCCCCACACAGCAGGTACTGGGTTCGCCTGGGGGAACACAGCCTCAGCCAGCTCGACTGGACCGAACAGATCCGACGCAGCGGCTTCTCCCTGACCCATCCCAGCTACCAGGGAGCGTCCCAGAGCTATGACCATGACATCCGGCTGCTTCGTCTGGGCACCCCCGCCCGCCTGACCCGCAGTGTTCAGACCCTGCCCCTGGCCAGCAACTGTGCAGCTGCCGGCACTGAGTGCCACATCTCAGGCTGGGGCACCACCAACCGGCCCTGGAGTAAGGAGGCCCTGGGCTGGGGGCAGGGGAGCAGGTGTCTCAGAGGAAACGGGGCTCAGGGCCAAGCTTTCAGGGTTAACGAGGGCAGGGGCCAGAGAGCATGATGGACCAAGAGTCTTGGGAGTAAGATGGTCCAAGGGGGGATGTGGTGTGAAAGGTCGGGAGCTGGAAATGTGGTTACAGGTTCGTGTAGCATCAGGAAGCAAAAGGCAGTTATAGGGCTGGAGTGAGAGTCCAGGGCTTAAGGCACTTGCCTTGCATGCGGCCAACCACAGCTAAGTTCTTGGCTCTGTGAGGGTCCCAAGAACCCCATCAGGAGTGACCCCTGAGCACAGAGCCAGGATTAAGCCCTGAGCACCTAGAGGTATGGCCTAACAACAACCCCTCCCCCTCATAATAAAAGATAAAAGCATAAATAGGACCTCAAGATCAGAGGTCAAGGAAGAGTTGAGATCATGGGATCCAGATGTCACACAAGCTGGTCTGAAGAGGGAAACCAAGCACCTTCAGGTTTGGGACCTGAACATGGGAGTTTTGGAGTATGGTGCCAGGGTTAAGATCAGAGATGATTTTATTATTTTATTTAATTTGGGGGATACTCCTGTCTCTGTGCTCACTGATCACTTGTGGCAGTACTCGGGGGTCTGGGATGGAATCAGGTTGTGCTGTGTGCACAGCAAGTGCCCTACCTGCTGCACTGTGCTGTACTTCAGCCTCTCAGAGGTTTAGCATGCTGAGGTGGGGAGGGGAGAAAAGGGTGTGGCCCCCAAGTGGGGAGATCTGGGGGTCCCTGCAGCATCTCCCTTTCTCCACCACAGGCCCATTCCCTGATCGGCTCCAGTGCCTCAACCTGTCCATCGTCTCCAGAGACACCTGCCAGGCTGTGTTCCCGGGGAGAATCACTGAGAATATGGTGTGTGCTGGAGGCATTGCAGGGGCTGATGCCTGCCAGGTGAGTAAGGGCCCCTGGGTGGGAGCAGGGAGAGAGATGGGTCTGAAAGCAAATGTGGCAGCCACAGAACATGACAGGGAATGGGGGGGGGGGACAGACTGGAAGGGCGAGGGCGGAGAACAGGGGGAGGGCAGGAGCAGGCAAGAAAAGACTAGAGGGGCTGAGCCAGAACAGCGGGGATCTTGCTCACCAGGCATGCACCCAAGAGGGTCGCCTGAGCCCTGCCAGGAGTGATCCCTGGGTGCTGAGCCAGGAGTCAGCTTGAGCACCGCCGGGTGTGGCCCCAAAACTAAAAAACAAAAGGAGACACAAAGAGAGGCAGAGAGGAGCTGGGCTTTGAGGTGCAGACAGGTGCCAACGGTCCCCACCCTGCAGACTCTGCTGGATCACGTGAGCAGAAAGGGGGTGGAGCTGGGAGGGAGGCTAGGGGCCTCTTTAACCTCTAATTCGGGACCACCTTGCCCTGTGGGTCCTCCAGAGAGGAGGTTGCCCCTATACTCTGCGGGCCCCAGCTCTAGCCTTTGTCCTTGAGAGATTTCTTATGAAGTCCCGCCCTCCTCCCCTGGGATTGGCGAGTTGTCTGGGGTCTCTGGATATTGGTCAGAACCCTGGTTATTACTCCGCCCCCTTCCCCTAGGATTGGCGTTGATGGCGGATAACCCTTTTCCATTGGTTAATCTCCAAGCCCGTCCTGGAAGGAACCTCTACCTTCATGGAGTCCCGCCCTCCTTCCCTGGGATTGGTCATTAGTGATGGATGTCTCTTTTTTCATTGGCCCAGCCCTTGTCCTGCAGGGACTCTCTTCTCCATCACGGAGTCCCGCCCTTCTTCTCTGGGATTGGTCATTGATGATGGGTGCGCTCTTCCCTCATTGGCCATCTCCCAGTCATTGTCCTGAAGGGAACCTTCTCTCCTTCACGGAGTCCGGCCTTCCGTCTCAGGATTAGTCATTAGTGACGGGTGCCTCTTGTTTTCATTGGTTAGCCCCCAGCCCTTGTCCTGGAGAGAACCCTCTACCCTTCATGGAGTCCCGCCCTCCTTCCCTGGGATTGGTCATTGATGATGGGTGCTCTCTTCCCTCATTGGCCAGTACCCAGTCATTGTCCTGGAGGGAACTCGCTACCCTTGGTGGAGCCCCTCCCTCCTTCTTGGGTATTGGCCCCTAGGGACAGTATGTTTCTACCTATTGGTTAGTCATTGCTAGCACTGACCTTGAGGAACCTGTCTGTGCTCTTTTCTCTGATGACCCGACTGGGGTTGTGTCTTCGAGGCCTAGGAATGGACAGGGCGGGAGGGGAAGTGGGAAACTGGGGCAGCATTTCTCCTAATCTGGATGTGCTCCTTCTTCTGCCTTGCAGGGAGACTCCGGGGGCCCCCTGGTGTGCGGGGGCGTCCTGCAGGGTCTGGTGTCCTGGGGCTCCGTGGGGCCTTGCGGCCAGAGCGGCATCCCAGGAGTCTACACCAATATATGTAAATATGTGGATTGGATCCGGACAGTCATAAGGAACAATTGAGCTGCTCTCTGGCGTCCAGCACGCACTCCGAGGGCCACTCCAGCTCCTGCAGCATCACCGCACTTCCTCTTCTTAGTTTGGGAATCTTCTTCTGAACCCCCCATCCCGCCTCCAGGAAGCCCTTCTAGACCCCAGTTGGGAAAAGAACAATTCTGTGACTGGAATAAATGCAATAAAACTAGAGGAAGGATGTGTCTGTCTGTGTAATCCCCTGTGGTGTAATCTTGAGGATGGACCGTCTCTTCTCTCACCTCCAGAGGTGAAGATCAGGAAAGGGAGCATTCCCTGGGGTATGGGGTACACCGGAATAGAGTAGGAAGAAGATTTTATACACATATATATGTTTTTTTTTAATTTTAACAAATTTTGGGGCCACACCACCAGTGCTCAGGGACTGTTCCCTGCCCTGCTTGGTGCAAGTTGTTGCTCCTGGCAGTGCTCAGGGGACCCCTGTGAGGGAAACCCTGGTCTCATGTATGCAAAGCATGTAATCCAGCCCACTGAGTTCTCTCTGCAGTCAGGGAAACTTTCTTATAACAATAAAAGCAATAAATACAGGAATAAACAACCAAAACCCAATAATACCGAGGGCCAATCCAAGAGGAAAGAGCACCCAGCACTTACAACCTTCCCAGCACCTGTGAAGGACCAGAAGGGGTGCGGGTAGAAATTATGGGCTCCAGAACTCTCAAACAAAACTGTAAAATCGAAATTCATGGCCATTTAATTGAATGTCTATAAAATCTAACATTCTTCCAACTAGCCAATTGCAACTTGGCTGGAGGTGAGCCGGCACAGTTATGTTTAATGGGGGATGTGGGTTCACTTTAACAGGTCTGTGCTGACGGTGATGGGGCGCAGCCCTGGAGAGCAAAAACCCCTCGGCCTGAGTCTTCAGAGGGTCCGGACCCTCCAAACCTGGGGTGTCCTCTCCCTAGATGTGTGGAAGGGAGGTTCAGGAGGGGGCGAGGGTGAGGGGTGAGCAGGAGGCTCAAGGGCTCTCTTGGACTCCGTGGTGGCCCCCCACTCCCTCTCCCCAAGGCAGGGCCGGCACCCCCATCTCACAGATGAAGAAACTGAGCCTCACCAGGGTGGAGCCGGCTGCGCGCGTCACCGTGGTCGGAAGAGGCAGGCTGCTACCCCACACGTTGCTTCACAGCTGCTGAGGGGAGCTTGGAGGGCCGGAGCCGAGGGAGACCCAGACCAGAGCCAAGGAGCGGGGAAACAGGGGCGCCTCTGAACCGGGAAGTCGTCGGACCGAGGGCCCAAGTCCAGTAAGTGTCCGGGAGCCCCGGCCCGACGTGGAGGGGGCCTGGGGGTCCCGCAGCCGGACGGGGCAGAGAGAAGGTCGCGCGGGGACGGACCCGCGCCGCTGCGGAGCCCCCAGGAGACGGTGCGGGGGTGGCGGGTGGGCTCGGCAACGGGGCCGGCGCTGCCCGGCGTTTGCCTGGCGGCTCCGCAGGCCCCGACCTGCCTCCGCACCCTCCGGTCCTGCCCCTCGCCCGCCCCGGCAACCCCACCTGCGCGGCGCCCCAGTTTCCCCCCTCACCTGAGCGCGGGGAGGGGAGGGGCCCCGGGAGGCTGGAGAGGCCCCCTCGGCCCGGCTGGGGAGGCGGTAACCGAGGCTGGGGAGAGGCAGGGAGACTGAGTCTGAGCCGGAGGAGAGAGGGACAGCCCCGAGGAGCCGCAGACGGACAGGGACAGCCACGGGGCGGGGAGAGAGCAGCAGGGAGGATGGCGGGCGCAGAGGCACTGAGAGAAGCAGGAGCCAGGGGACTTGGAGAGGTGACAGAGGCAGGCGGGCCGCCTGGGAGGGCCCCCACGCACACCCCACCCCCAAGGCGAGCAGGCAGGGCCGGGAGGCCGAGTCACCGGCCGCGGGCCAGCCAGCCTGCTGCCTGGCGCCAAGACCCAGATTGCCGCAGCTGCCACCACCACCACCGGCCCCCTGAGTCCCAGCCCCAGCGCCCCGTGAGTCCAGAGGGAAGGGCAGGCCCCTCGGTGTCTGCCTGTGGGGGGACAGCACACCTCTGCTCCCCTCTGCCCTCTGTCCCTCGCTCTGCTCTGTCCCTGTCAGCTCTGCGGGGCAGCCCCCCACCCCACCCCGGCCTCTCTCTGGGTCTCTTACCAGATGCAACCCCCAACTCTGTGACCTCAGCTCCGGTCACCGGGTCCAGCCCTGCACCCCCGCCCCCGCTGACCAGGGCAGCCCAGGACACCCTGAGCTCCTCCCAGCTGCTGCCTCTCGCAGGATGGGCGGGGCGGGGGTTCTGCAGAGGAAGGCCCCCCACCCCACCCCCAGCCCTCTCTTAGACCCCGTCATGCCACAAAGGGCTATATCTTGGGGAGGTCCCCTCTTTCCTTTCCCCTCCTGTCTCTGGCTGCTGGGGTCTGGCCAGGTCCCAGGGAGGGACATTCTCCAAAATGGGCCTCAGAGTACGTTTTGTGGTGACAGTCAGGAGACCAGCCTGGCCAGAAGCTTGTTTGTCGCTTGCCCAGTCAAGGGCTCTCAGCCACTTTGGTGTCACCCTTGGGGACTGGAAGTTTCTGGCACTGGGCAGGTCCCTCCGAGGGTTTATCCTCCACCCAAGGGTTATTGGAAAGCTCTGGAGTGTGCTAGAGAGCTCAGGGTCAGGCTCCCGGGGTGCGGGAGGAGTGGGGAGAGTCAGGGAAAATCAGGGGTACTGGAGAGTGGGAACAGTCTCCCACTTCCCCAGAGGGTGACATGGCCCTGTGTTCCCCCATTCCTAGAAGCACCTGGGGCTCCTCTCTCCAGGCCATGAAGCTCGTGAGACTGTTCATGCTTGCTCTGATGACAGGTACGGCGGGGTGACGGGGCCCCCTATGTCTGGAGTTTACTGGGCTGAGACTCAGAGTAGAGACACACCCAGAGCGGGTCTGTGTGTGGACACAGTCTGGGTGTGATTCCAGCTGAGAATGGGGAGGGAGCCAGGAGGGTCCCAGGACTGCTGGGAAGGGGGTGGGGACACTGGTCACTGACCAGCCAGTGGAAGTGCATGGCAGTCCTTCCCCTCTGAGCCCTGGCCAGCCCCTCAGTGCCCCTTCCGGGCAGCTGGTCTGCTGACCTTGCCTCCTTACCCTGACTATCTCAGGGGTCTGGGCATGTCTGAACATCCCCCCCTGCTTCCCCCCACGCTCTAGGGCATGTGGGAGGAGAGACCAGGATCATCAAGGGGTACGAGTGCCGCCCCCATTCGCAACCCTGGCAGGTGGCCCTGTTCCAGAAAACCCGGCTGCTGTGTGGGGCCACGCTCATCGCCCCCCGATGGCTCCTGACTGCCGCACACTGCCGCAAGCCGTGGGTGCGGGGGCCAGCGCGGGCTGGGAGGGGGACGTGAACGGGGTGTGGGGGGATGTTGCAGGGTGCATGCGGGCAGGGGAGCCCCACGTCAGGGCTGGAGCAGAGGTGGTGCCTGGGGAAGGTGGGTGGAAGTTTCGAGGGGCCCCGGAAGGGGGGCTTTCCTGGGGAATGATGAGGCGAGGCAGGTGGTGGGCTCAGCTCAGGCGTCTTCCTTTGTGTCCATCTCGCCATGTCTCTGTCCACCTCCCGCCTCTCCCGACTGCTGTCTCTGAACACCCCCTTCCTCACCTCAGCCAGTACTTGGTCCATCTGGGAGAACATAACCTCCAGCGACAGGATGGCTGTGAGCAGATGCGGACGGCCACGGAGTCCTTCCCGCACCCCGACTTCAACAACAGCCTCCCCAACAAAGACCACCGCAATGACATCATGCTGGTGAAGATGGCCACGCCTGCCCTCATCACCCGGGCAGTGAAACCCCTCACCCTGTCATCACGCTGTGTCGCGGCTGGCACCCGCTGCCTCATCTCTGGCTGGGGCACCACGTCCAGCCCCCAGTGTAGGGGTTCCAGAGGGGCACGTGGGGGTGGAAGGGGGGAGGGCATTTGTGATGGTGGACAGGTAGGAGGAGAGAGAACCTTCAGAGGTGGACTCCTGTGATACCAGAGGGGGCATCAATAGTGTGTTGATGGGGTGTGTTGAGTGTGAAGGGCCAGAAAGATAGTCTAGTGGGTAGGGCACTGGCCTTCGATATAGCGAACTCCAGTTCCATCCCTTGTACTGCCAAGCAAACTCTGAGCACTGCCAGAAGTGATCTCCAAGAGTTAGGACTAAACCCTGAGCACTGCTGGGTGTGGCCCCCAAGTAACCCCCCCCAAATAAACAAGAGTAGAAGAGGGGACGAGTAAGCTGGGTTGGTGGAGACCAAAGTTTGGGCCTGGAGTCAGACTCTGATGGCTCTGCTCTTTGTTTTTCTTCTCTCCAAACTGAGAATGAATCCTCACGCCCACCGCCAGGCCCTCAGGTGGTGGGCAGGAGAGCCCTGTTCAGGAGCAGGCAGCTGGTGGGCAGGAAGAGGGCTGGGCTCGGGGAGAGTGGGGCGCACTCATTCCCCCTGCTCCTCCCGCAGTGCACCTGCCCCATACCCTGCGCTGCGCCAACATCACCATCATCGAGCATAAGGAGTGTGAGAACGCCTACCCTGGCAACATCACGGACACCATGGTGTGTGCCAGCGTCCGGGAAGAGGGCAAAGACTCCTGCCAGGTGAGAGGGGCAGCCCTGAGCACCCCCTGCACCTCCCCAGCCTCAATGTCCACCCCCTCCCCCAGGCCCCAAGCCCCATCTCCCCGCAGCAGCCCTGCACCCACCTCTAGCCCAGATCCCATTTCTGTTTGCAACATGATCCCGACTCCTCTCCCCACACCCATGTCCAACCCCAACTTCATTTTCCACTCTACCTCATCTTTGGGCTGGAGCGACAGCACAGCGGGCAGGTCACTTGCCTTGCACGCGACTGACCCGGGTTTGATTCTTCCATCCCTCTCGGAGAGCCTGACAAGCTACCAAGAGTATCCTGCCTACACGGCAGAGCCTGGCAAGCTCCCCGTGGCGTATTTGATATGCTAAAAACAGTAACAACAATTCTCACAATGGAGACGTTACTGGTGCCCACTTGAGCAAATCAATGAACAATGGGACGACAGTGCTACAGTGCTACCCTCATCTTTGCTTTCTCCCATGACCCATTTGCAACCCCGTCCTCAGTGTCTGCCCTGCCCTGACCAACCTGTCACAGCACTAAGCTTAGCCCTTGTCCTTCTCTATGGCCTTCCCTCTCTCTTCTTCTCTTTTTTTTGGGGGGGGGCGGGTGTTGGAGGGTAGGCACCACACCTGGCAAGGCCCAGGGCTGACTGCTGGCTCTGTGCTCGGAGATCACTCCTGTCAGGCTGAGGGGATCCTATGAGATGCCAGGGATGAAACCCGGGTTGACCACGTGAAGGTGAACGCCCTCTCCTCTGCTCCAGCTCCAGTCCTTGCTCCTTCTTCTCTCACCGGTTCTCTCTCTGTCTTTCCCAGGGCGACTCTGGAGGCCCTCTGGTCTGCAATGGGTCTCTTCAAGGCATTATCTCCTGGGGCCAGGATCCATGCGCTGTTACCAAAAAGCCTGGCGTCTACACGAAAGTCTGCAAATATGTGGACTGGATCCATGAGACTATGAACAGGAATTAGCCGAGACCAGCCCAGCAGAGCAGGACACGCCTGATTTTCCCCCACCCCAAACCCCCATCTCCACCAGTCAGTGAATAATAAAGGTCAGGCCAGGGCCTCATCTTTGGTTCTCCTTCACTGTGAGAGATTTTATGAATGAACTCGGGCTTTGAAATGAGTGACACCAGGGTCCAAGTCCTGTCTGGCACCCTGAGTTACTGCCCTAAGGTGTGGGGGGGTGTCATGATTTGATTCACTGTTGTGTCTCCAACTATGACAAGAACCCGGGGTGGGGGGTGGGGGGATCATCAATAAAACCAAGTGGATTGACACCTCTCTGAAGTGTTTGCTTCTGCTGAGCCAGCCTCTGGCTGAGGGGCTTCCACAGGGCCGCACCTGGGAGGTTGCTGTTATCATTAGACGCTCTCTGCAGATGGAGACAGTGAGGCACAGAAAGGCAGATTTCTTTATTTTTATTCACATGGTCAGTGAATAAAAGGGAAGCTGAGACCAGTGCTTTCTTCTTGGTTTTATTGGGGATCATAATGCAGTGCTCAGGGTTAGCTTTGCACGCAGGGATCACTCCTAGGAGGGCTCCTGGGACCTTGTGTGGTGCCAGGGATCAAACCCCATTTGCTGCGTGCAAAGCAAGCACCTTCCCGATGGTCCTGGGTCCCAGCAGCCAGCGAGGTGCTTAACTCACTCCTGGAACCCAGTTTCCTCTGGAGTAAATTGACCAAGTAAAAGTAGGTGAGCACTCTATATCAACCTGCACATTTGCTATTTGTTTTGTTCTTAGTTTTTTTTTTTTTATAATTCAGTGGGGGAGATGGGTGCGGGCGCTCTCAGTTGTTCCAGGGACCCTATGGGGTGCCGAGGGTTAAATCAGGGTCAGCAGATGCAAGGTCAGTGCTGCCTCCGCTGCTGTCTCTCCAGGCAGTGCGTTACATAGTTTTTGTTTTAGGGCCACACCCAGCTGTGGCTGACTCCTGACTGTGTTCAGGGAGCACTGTTGCTGGTGGTGGTTGGGGGGACCCTATGTGGCATCAGGAATGGAACCCTAAGTCTTTTGCTTCAATCTAGCAAAGTGGGAGTGTCCAGCATCCTTTTCTGTCCAGCCCCATGAGGCTGGTATGGGGCTATTTGTCGGATGAGGCAATTTCAACTCAAGCCCCCCACTACCCCAAATGTGATTCTTCATGCTGGCCATATGTCAAACACGGTCACCCCACCTGGCAGTGGCTCACACAGCTGGACAGCACCTTTCAGGGCTCCAGAAGGTTTGACAGCTCAACACAGTGCTGACAAGATAGACTCAGTTTCCCCCGCTTTTCCTTGGGATGACACCCTCACCCAGTGTGGAAGTTGAACCTTTGGGGAGGGGGGAGCCATCGCTCATGGTGCTCAGAGCGACTACAGCCCTGCGTGTTAACAGGGTCCCTGTTCCAACCAGCTTCCACCACCTTCGTGGCAAGCACTATCTCGCTGGCACCGGAAGTCAGGATCTTTGCTGAGGTTCTGCTTGCCTGGCAGGAGAGGCTGTTGGCCAAGGAATGCCAGAGTCCAGGGCTGGATCCGGGGCCGGGGTTGTTAGGTGGGTATGCCGTGTGACCTCCTATCACTCAGGGCCCGCTCTCAGCCTCCCATCGGTCTGAAAGAAGGGAGTTGGCCACAGTGGCATGTCCTGTGTGATTCACAGCCCTGAGTGCTACCTAGAGGCCCGAGTCCCACAAAGGGAGCATTACGGTGCCTCCCCCGAGCCTGCAGCAGCCTGCCAGGGCGGGGTGACGGCTCTTCCTCTGCCGGGCCTGCCTCTGTTTCCCTCTTTGGTTTCTGGGCGGCTCTGCTGACCCCCCTCTCCTTGGCAACTGACCCCCCAGACATGCTTCTCTGTTTATTTATTCTCCCCAGGCTGGTTCTAACACTGTCCCCAAGACTCCCACCCCCTCTCCCGCACCTGCAGCGTCTTCTTGGAAGCTGCCCTGTGGATCGCCGGGAAATCCCCCAAGGATGCCAGATCCAAAAAGGGCGTTTCTGCCCCTGGGAGCAGCGCTGTGTCCCGGGGCCCCTCCCAGGGCAGGAATCTGGGCCCAGGTTGGGTGCCAGCCCCACCCACGGCATAATTAGGGAGAGGAGAGAGAGGAGGGGGCGAGTCCACAGCGGAGGGTGGGAAATTTCCGGGCTTCTCGGGGGTTAAAAGGGAAGGTCGGGCCGGGGTCCCGGGCAGAGGCTCCGAAGGCCCACGCGAAGCCTCCTCCCTCCCGCCCACCACCGGACTCTCCCAGGTGAGGCCACGCTCACCTCGGCCAGGCTGGAGTGGAACCCGGAGCGGGCCCCCGGGGACCTCGGGCGGGAGCCCGTTCGTGCCACAGTTCTCTTTGAAGGGATGCGCTGTGGCCGGCACTGGAGCGCTGGGCTGGGGCGCCGGGAGGGCGGGGAGGACGCGGCGAGGGGCGTCCCTCGGGAAATTGCGCCTATTAAGGCCGCCGGGGCCGCGCCGCCTGTCCTTCCGCCCGGCAGGTCTGGACTCGACGCGGGGGGCTGCGGGCGGCGGGGGTCTCGGCCCCTGCAGCTGCCCTGACCACTCCCCACCCCCCAGCAGACTGCACCCATGAGACCGCCGCGGCGCCACCTCCCCGCCGCCCTGGCGAAGTTGCTGCTGCCGCTGCTGATGGCGCAACCGTGGGGTGAGGCGCGGACGGAGCGGGCGGGAGGCGCCGGCCGGACAGGTGCGGGGCGTGCGGCCCGCACAGCCCGGCACTCGCTCCACCCAGGCCCCTGCCCGCCGGGCCCCGGCTGCCCGCCCCACCGGTGTCCGGACCGCGCCCACCCGTCCCCGCCCCCTCTCACGCCGCCCTCCCAGGTCCAGCTTCCCGGCTTCTGGCCCGCGACTGTCCCCGCGGCCCGTGGCGTGCGCCCACCCCAGTTCCCACGCAGCCCCCGCCGGCGAGCTCAGTTGCCCCATTCTTCAGTCGCCATCAGTCAGTCGCGGTCCTGGGAAGCCCACCACACCCGGGCCGCCCTGTCGCCGTCTGCAGGGTCCCCGTACCCAGCCGCTCACTAGGCCCGCCCTTTTGCAGCCTATCCCCGCCCCCTCGATCCTATCCCCGCCCCCCAATCGCCAGCCGCCTCCTATCCCCGCCCCCTCAGTCCTGTCCCCGCCCCCTAATCGCCAGCTGTCTTCTAACCCCGCCCCTTCAGTCCTGTCCCTGCCCCTTGATTACCCGCCGTCTTCTAATCCCGCCCCCTCAGTCCTGTCCCCGCCTCCTAATCGCCAGCCGCGTTCTAACCCCGCCCCCTCAGTCCTGTCCCCGCCCCCTAATCGCCGGCTGCGTTCTAACCCCGCCCCCTCACGTCCTATCCCTGCCCCGGATTACCCGCCGCTTTCTAACCCGGCTCTCTCGCAGCCTATCCCCGCCCCCTGATTACCCACAGCATTTAGCCCCTTCCCCTCATTCCTGACCCCGCCCCCTGATCGCCTTCGCGCTCTATAGCCCAACCCCCCCACGCGTCCTATCCCCGCCCCGTTACCCTCCGCGGATAACCCCACCCCCCTCAACTCCTGACCCCGCCCCCGACCGCCTTCTCGCTCTATCATCCCGCCCCTTCGCGTCCTATCCCCGCCCACTGAACATCAGTCCCGTTTTCTTTCTTTTATTTTACTGGGGGCGTTGGGGTTCACACTCAGCTATGCTCGGGGGTCGCTCCTGGCGCTGCACTCAGGAATGACCGCGTCCCTTGAGTTTTCCCCTGGGGTCCTCTCCTGGTCCCGCCGCCCATCTTCCTTTCTGCTAACCCACCGGGGATCGCTCAGAACGCCCGAGCCGGGCTGTCGCGCCGGGTCTGATCTCCGCCCCTTCTCCTGCAGCCGCAGAGGCGGGGCTGCTCCTCGCAAACGGCACCGCCCGGGACCCCGCGGCCTCCAGCTCCCCGTGCCCGCGCGGCTCGCAGCCCTGGCAGGTCTCACTCTTCAACGGCCTCTCGTTCCACTGTGCGGGCGTCCTGGTGGACAAGAGTTGGGTGCTCACGGCCGCTCACTGCGGGAACAGCAAGTAGGGAGGAGCCCTTGGGGAACACCGCGGGGGGGCTGTGGAGTCAGGTCCTGAGCGGCGGGGGAGGGAAGGGACATTTGAGTCGGTGAAACGCTCCCAGCTGCCCAGTGGGGTTGTCCAGTCCAGGCGGCCTTCCTATAGGAGAACGGTGGGGCTGTGCTTTGGCCGCCAGAGGGCAGTGTGATTCTTCGATGCGTCTCTGCCAGCCGGCATCCCATGCCAGTTCTCCTTGGGTTCTGCTTAGCACTGTCGGAATTCAGAAGTCAGAATAAATGCTCGCCTTTCGATTACCCCCGAGGGACTAGTGGAGGGGGTTCCCGTGCAGACCCCTCTAGTCCTCAGTTCCTGCCACACACAGCAGCCCCGACACCCACTGGACTCCCTCCCCACTGCTTCTGCTTCCGAAACTCAGGTGTCCAGGCCCCGCCTCTCCGGGTCTGGCGCTACCTGCGCGCGCGCCGAGCCGGCTCTGCTCCACGCTTCTCTCCCCAGGCCCCTGTGGGCGCGCGTCGGGGACGACCACCTGCTGCTTCTCCAGGGTGAGCAGCTGCGCCGGACCTCCCGGCCGTTTCTCCACCCCAAGTACCGCCAGGGCTCGGGCCCCATCCTGCCCCGGCGGACAGACGAGCACGATCTCATGCTGCTGAAGCTGGCCAGGCCCGTGGTGCTCGGACCCCGCGTGCAGACCCTGCGCCTGCCCTACCGCTGTGCCCAGCCCGGGGACTGGTGCCAGGTGGCTGGCTGGGGCACCTCGGCCACTCGAAGAGGCAAGGCGGGGACCCAGAGGCCTGTGTCTCTGCGAAGAAGGGTCAGAGGGAGGAGGCTGGGGGCCCCAAAATTCTGGGTCTGAAGGTGGAAGCTGGAGTTCCAAACTTCCGGGTCTCCAGGAGGAGGGCTGGGGGCCTGGGGCTGGGACGGGGTCGCTGCTTCTCGGACCCGCGGCCCTCACCCACCCTGTCTTTCCCCATCAGTGAACTATAACAGGGGGTTGCACTGTGCCGGAGTTCGGGTCCTGAGCCCACAGGAGTGCAACGTCTTCTACCCGGGCGTGCTCAGCAGTGGCATGATGTGTGCAGGGCTGGAGCGGGGCGAGGACCCCTGCCAGGTAGGGGTGGGACACGACTGGTCCCTCGGTCCCCTTACCTCCTCCTTGGGCCCCCCTCCCCTGGCCCTGCCCAGGGTCCCCATCCTTATCCGCTCCCCAGACCCCCAGACTAGCCCTCCTTACTCCTGCCCCCAGCCAACATCCCAACATTGTACCCTGTACCCCAATTCATATGAAACGCCCAGGTCTACCCAGCCCCTGCCTGGCCTCGCCCCCCCCCCCCACCGTGGGAGGTAACAGTGCCTGGACCCCTCTCCTTCCTCCCGCCCACACAGAGTGACTCCGGAGGCCCTCTGGTGTGTGAGGAGACCCTGCACGGCATCCTCTCATGGGGCGCGTACCCCTGTGGCTCCGTCCAGCACCCTGCTGTCTACACGCAGATCTGCAAATACGTGCCCTGGATTGAGAAGACCATCCGCACCCACTGAGCCCCCCTGCCCCACTCTCCCACACTGGGACCCCCCTGGCACAGCAGAGAAGAGGGACCTGTCACCCAGCGTGACTTCCTCTATCCCCACCCCGCGCTCCCCATTTCCACTGTGTGGCTCAGCTGAGTCGGCTGAACACCGGCTCTGGGCCTCTGTTTTCTCACCTGGAAAATGGGGACAATGAAGTGCCTACCTCATCGGTGTGTTGTGAGATGATGCTATGACGTGTGTGTGCGCGCGCTGCCATGCCAACTGTCACGGAAAGCACCACTCAGTGGGCGCTGACCTCTGCCTATTGCTATGACCGCGAACATAGTGAGGTCCTGCGAGAATGTGTGACTTCGCTCCAGAGGGAAACACTCAGGGGTCACCTCAAATCCCACCCCTGCACCCCGCCCTCCTGTTGGGCAGATGGAAGAATCACATTCCCCACCCCCCAGATTCAGAGCGTTCCCCTGGAGCCGCTTCCACCCCTTCCCACTGTCTGCGCGCGTCCGGTTCCGCCCACCGGGCCCGCCCACCGCGGCGCCTCCAGCCTGTGCCATCCTGACTCAGCTGCTCCGGGCTCTGCCTTCCTGAATCCCTGACCTGCCTCGCCCCCAGGCACACCTGAGGCCACTTGCTAAGTTCCGGAGGGTCAGGGGTCAGCCGCCTGGAGCTGAGAGCCCCACCTCCAGGGGGGCCCGGGAATCGCAGCCCTGCCCACCCCCCGCTCGGGGTTCCCGCTGCAGCCTGCTCAGCTCCCGACGGGCTCTGAGTTAACCTATTGGCCTGTGGACCACCGCCAGGGACTGAAGCCGGGGGCTCATGCAGTGGAAGGCGTCTATTTTGGGCCACTGAGTCACATCCCTGCCTCCCCCACTGGCCCCCAGATGAGCTTGGAAATTCAATCCAGAGGAGGGAGGGATGCTTCTCTGCCTGCAGTGTTCTCAGGCAGGGCAGGATAGGGCAGGGGACAGATGAGCACTCGGGGAAGAGCACAGTTGCCTGACCCTAGAGCCAAGCCTAGTTGTTTGCTTTTATGTTTTGTTTTGCTTTTGCTTTTTGGGTCACACCCAGTGATGCTCAGTGGTTACTCCTGGCTCTGCACTCAGGAATTACTCCTGGCAGTGCTCAAGGGACCACAGGAGATGCTGGGAATCGAACCCGGGTCGGCCGCGTGCAAGGCAAACGCCTTACCTGCTATGCTGTCGCTCCAGCCCCTACTTTTATGTTTTGACTTGAGGCCACACCCAGTGCTGTTCAGGGGCTGCATCTGGCTCTGTGCTGGGGTCATGCCTGGCAGGGCTCAGGAGCAAGTATCGGGCTCGGGTCTCTCCACATACAGCCCAGTGCACTCCTGGCTGTGCTCTTCGCCTGCCCTGGGCCTGGGCAGTGCCCCTGCCCCCCGCGCAGACGGTGTGTGCACCCCCATCTGTTGAGCATCTGTTGGCACTGAGTGCTGGTTCTGGCTCCCAGAATCCGCCCAGGACAAGTGCCCTTGGTCTAAGCCTTGGCTTCAGGAACTATCCCCTCTCCCCACCCCCCACCCCCCACACACACATGCCTGCCCCACCCCATAAATACAACCAGGAAATTGTCACATTTGTCATGTGAGAATCAGAAGCCAAGTAGGTGGAAACTCAGAAACCCAGCTCATTTTCAAAACCCATTTCACCCCATCCTTCAGTCACATGCCACAGGCATTTCCTGAGCTGTGCCTGACACCAGGCCCTGGAGATGATTCAGACCAGGTCCTACCCTCAGGAAGCTGCTGGTCAGGTCTGGGAGCCTGGCAAGCCTTACATTCTTGCCATTCAAGGGCCTAGTCAAAGGTCACCTACTCCAGGAAGCCTTCCAGGATTTTAAAGTTCTGGCTCAAGGAGAGCTCCCTTCTCTCCCCATCTGTTCCACTCATATTTGTCCTTATTTTTAAGGAAAAAAAATTTTTGGCAGCAGTTACAGCTGAAATGAGGTGTTAGCAGCAGGTAGGTAATTTGCCTTGCACGTGGCCAACCCGGGTTCGATTCCCAGCATCCTATATGGTCCCCTGAGCACCGCCAGGGGTAATTCCTGAGTGCAGAGCCAGGAGTAACCCCTATGCATCACCAGGTGTGACCCAAAAAGCAAAAATAAATGAGGTGTTGGTTTGTTCTAGCCCCCCCTCTCTGCACCCAGGCCCTCTGTGCAGCGTCTCTGAGTTACCCACTGGGCTGCCAGGCAGAGTCTAGAGCAGTATGGTTGCACTACTGGGTGACAGAAGTGAGTAGAAGGACCCCTGGGAGGGCCCAAGGACTCCTGCAGCCACTAGGGAAGGTTGGTCTACGAGAGAACCCTTTCCCCAGGCTTCAGGGGACGACTGGGAGCTCAGGGTGCAGGGAAGTGCCCTTTACTGTGTGACCAGAGCAAGCGGCCGGTGCCTTCTTCCCCCCAGCTCCCTCTCTGGGAAGCAGGGGGTTCGCCTCTGGGGATGGTGAGGAAGCAATGGGCTAGAAACCTGCCTAATTGCTTGGCACAGTCGCACAGCACAGTAGGGAGCCCGGGAAGCACACGTGTGGAGCCTTTAGCCTGGAGCCTCAGTCGGATCTCAGTGACCAGGCGGGAGAAGCTGCGAGACCTGCGCCAGAGGCTGGGGGCAGGAGCGAGAGGACAGGAGGGAGGACATTGGCCTTCATGCGGTCAGCTGGGGTTGATCCCCAGATCCCAGAGGGTCGCCCGAACACTGCCAGGAATGATTCCTGAGCACAGAGTCAGGAGTAACCCCTGAGCATCACAGGTGTGCCCCACCCCTCAAACAAACAAAAACAAACAAACAGTGCTGTCAGGGGGCTTCGTGCTGGCACCAAGGCGGCAGTGCAGGCTCCCAGCAGACAGGCTTGGGTGTCACCACGCACCAGGCCGCCTGGGGGTCCAGACGTGTCCCTTCTGGTGGTCCCTAGAGTTCCAGATGCTGCATAGATGGGACAGCCAGAGCAGCCCAGGGACTTGCTCATGGCTGTAGCACTTGCTCATGGTCAGCCTGGACATTTGGACCTGAGCCCCTGATCAGAGACGGACCCTGAACCACTGCACCTGGGCCAAAGAGACAGCCCAGGGCTGAAAACTTTTTGGTCTTGTGTGCAGCCAGAGGAAGTTCAATCCTTAGCCCTGAGCACCGCCTTCTGGTGACCTCTGAGCACAGAGCAGAGAGTCACCCTCACTGGCTCCCCCACACACCAAACACATACACACACAAAATCACTATCACTGTCTTCCCATTGTTCATCGATTTGCTCGAGAGGGCCCAGTAACATTGTGAGACTTGTTACTGTGTTTGGCATATCGAAAATGTCACGGGTAGCTTGCCAGGCTTTGCAGTGCGGGCGAGATACTCTCGGTAGCTTGCCGGGCTCTCCGAGAGGGACAGAGGAATTGAACTTGGGTCGGCCATGTCAGCCACATGCAAAGCAAACACCCTACCCGCTGTGCTATCACTCCAGCCCACATACAAAATATATAATAGTGAGGTCACATTCAAGGGGGACTCAGAGCCAACCCGAGTGGCAACAGAATGTGTACAAAAATGTGAATTCCCAGAGGGAACAAAAGATGATTTCTGTCTGAGGAAACCAGAGAAGGCTTCCTGGAGGAGGCATTTAGGTTCGCTCTTAAAGGTTGCACAGGAGTTCACCAGGAACAGAAGGATATGGAGAAAGACACACTCATTCAATTACTATCTCCCTCCCCTGGGTCCAGCCCTGCCTGGGTGACCGGCTGAGGGCAGCCAGAGATGAGTCTGCACAGCGGATCCTGAAGGAGGGCTGTCCATCTGGTGAGGAGGGAAGGTAGAGAAACGGGTGGGGGGAAACTGGAGAATGTTCCCTATTGCCATATGGTCTTCCCCCCTTGTCTTTTTTTCTTCTTTCTTTTTCTGCTTTTTGGGTCACACCCGGCGATGCTCAGGGGTTACTCCTGGCTCATGCACTCAGGAATTACTCTTGGTGGTGCTCGGGGGACCATATGGGATGCTGGGAATCGAACCTGGGTTGGCCAGGTTGGTGCAAGGCAAATGCCCTACCAGCTGTACTATTGCTCCAGCCCCCATCTTTTCTTTTCTTTTCTTCTTCTTTTTTTTATGCCACACCTGGTGATGCTTAGAAATTACTCCTGGTGGTGTTTGGGGGACTCTGGAATTGAATCTGGGTTGGTTCTATGCCAGGCAAGCCCCCCCTCCTCCTGGGCCATGGCTCCAGCCCCCCATATGTGGTCTTAAGGAGCATCTCTGATGGGCGCAGGTTGGCTGTCATCCTGGGTGAGGGGTGTGGGGGCGGGGACTGCAGGCAGGAGCAAGCCTGGCTCTGGGTTCCTTCCTCCTCTCCCACGCCCACTCGCCCTTCTCTCTGCCCTGGACCCTTTGCATTTTTTAGTCCAGTTCCTTGTTTGCTTCCTTTCCCTCCCTTTCTCTCCCTTACCTGGCCTCACCCCCAGTCTGCCCACATGCCTGGTTCTCCACCCCGACTGACCTGCTTTGGGCATCCCTCCAGCCGCCCCTGACCTGGGCCTGGGGTCACCATCCATCAGACTTAGATAGTGCCTTGAGATCTTCCTCCTCTCCTCATCCTCCTGCACCAGACGCACTTCCTGAGGTCCTGGGGAAGGAGGCCTCCCTCTTCCTGGACAGCCCCCCAAGACCACCCTGACTCAGTCCCCCTGCTCTGCCTCCTGGGGTACCCCAACCCCACCCCCTTCCTGGAGGGGGGCAGTCAGGGCTCTGGGGCCTTCCCCCTCCCCCCAGGACATTTCCCAACCCAGATTAATCACGGGGCGGCCCCAGGGAGGAGGAAGAACATGGCCTGGGCTTTGCCATAAAGAAGCTGGGGCCCAGCCAGGCGGAGGCTCCAGATCCCCGGAGGCCATGAGGCTAGGATTTGCCTGCGCTCTGCTTTCCCTCCTGACTGGTGAGGCCGCTGCCCTCCGCCCGGCCCAGACCCCGGGGTCCCTCCAATGGGCCCTGCGGCCCTCCCCACCACACCCTGCTCTCTGACCTTGTTGGCGATTGATCCTTCTGTCCTCCAGGGCACAGCGGGGCAGAGACCCGTGCCATCGGGGCCGAGGAATGTCGTCCCAACTCCCAGCCCTGGTGCGTGGGGCTCTTCTCCCTCACTCGCCTCTTCTGCGGGGCCACCCTCGTCAGCGACCAATGGCTGCTCACCGCAGCACACTGCCGCAAGCCGTGAGTGAGGGGACAGCCCCTGGGGTGGTGGGGGGCTGGAGGGCCACAGGGCGAGGGCAGGGCCTCAGGGGAGGTGGCAGAAGCTGGAGAGATGGGACCCCTGAGTCCGACTCTCAGAATGAGAAGCGGCTCTCCGGGAGTCCTCAACCATCTGCTTTTTGTTTCTGGTTCTGTGTTTGTTCTCTTGGGGGCCCCACCTAGCAGTGCTCGGGCTGACTGACTCCTGGTTCTGTGCTCGAAGATCACTCCTGGTGAGGCTCTGGGGATGCTGTGTGATGCTGGGGGCGGCATTGGGCTTAGCTACGTGCCAGGCAAGTCCCTTCTCCGCAGCTTCATCTCTCCAGCCGCCTCTGTCTGATTGGAACAGGGCAAAGACACTAAACAGACCCCCTGGCAGCCTGGCCTCTGAGCCACAGGGTCACGAGGTCCTAGATCCCCTGACATCGGACATTGGTTTTAGAGGTTTCAATGGATTCAGACTATTTAGAACCTTTGTAGGGAGGGGAGAGAAGCCCACCCAGCAGAGTGCAGGGTGGACTCCTGCCTCTGTACTCAAGAATCACTCCTGGTGGGGCATGAGGGATCCTCTCCAGTGCCCGGGTTCAAGCAGGGATCCACTGTGAGTGGATCCCAGCCCCCATGTAAGAGTCTTTAAAATCCAGATCAGCACTGCCCTGGAGACAGGACAGCAGCTAGGGGCATCAGGTGTAAGTTTTCTGGTGACACATTCAATTCTTGTTAATGAGGGTCAGAGAGACAGCACAGCAGGGAGGGTGTTTGCCTTGCACAAGGCCTACATCAGTTCAATCCCCAGCAACCCATAGGGTCTTCTGAGCCCCTCTAGGACAGATTCCTGAATGCAGAGCCAAGGAGTAAGCCCTGACTCAGCTCTACCGGGTGTGGCCCCCCCCAAACCAAAAAATCAATCAATCAATCAATTCTTGTTAATGAGGGGGAAAAATCATGATTTTGGAAGTAAAATAGTTTTATTTAGGAACATGAGAAAGAGAGAGAGAGAGAGAGAGAGAGAGAGAGAGAGGGAGAGAGAGAGAGAGAGAGAGAGAGAATGTGCCCTAAGCAGGAATTCAGCAAGCGACAGAGGAGTCTGCCTCAACTAATTTATTACATTGATTACTGCTAATTGAAACATTGAAATAGACATACTCATAGTATTTTAACATGCAATCTATTTTTGAGTATGTGTGAATGACATTGTTTGTGTTGGTTTTTTTTTTCCAGTAACCCTTTACACCAACATGTATTTTGCCCAGAGTGAACCACCCAATAGGGTCGGCCGCATTCCACATGCCCAGTGACTGGGACAGCACCACCCTAGAATCCTAGACCCTGAGTAACCTGTCTGTGGCCACTGAGAAGCCGATAGTCTCAGCATCTGGGAATCCCTGCCCCCAGAGCCCTGGGATTTGCAGGACTACAGAATCTTGCTCCAAGAGAATTTCAGAAGCTCACGTTCATAGGTGTCTGTGCTCTGTGGACGATAGAGCCCAGGATGGTAGAACAGATGGATTCTTAAAGTTTCCAGAGATTTCATTCAGAGAAACTCTTGAGTCTCAAACTACTAGAGCCCTATGCTTTCTTTGTTTGTGTTTTGTTTTGTGGTTATTTTTGTTTTGTTTGTTTATGGGCTATGACCAGCAGTGCTCAGGGCTTACTCCTGACTCTGTGCTCAAGATTCACTCCTGACTCTGCTCAGGGAGCACTCCTAGAAGTGCTTAGGGGACCATGTACTGATCTTAGGCTTTTAAGTTCTAAAATCACAGACTTGCAGGAGTCTAGAATGGTAGGATACGATTTCTATTGTCCCAGTATATTAGAACCCTTCATCTAATGATAAATTCCTAGACTTTTGTTGATTCAGAAAAATCTAGAATGTATGAATCTTGGGCAGGTGAGGGTCGGGGAACATTGGCTCACTGGTAGGGCTGGTGCGCTGTGTGTATGAGGCCCTGGGAAGGATCCCTGGAACAGTTAAAATCAAACAACTCCCCTCCCCTATCAAGAAAAAATACAGAATGTATGAGTCTTGTTTTTATAACATAGAATATGAGTCCCATAAAATTATAGAATCGTGGATTCCTGTGGTGTTATGGTCTTTGGATGAGAGGTACATCTATTTTATGAGCCCAGAGTGGATCAGATCTTCAAATTATCTTGATATTTAAATATTCAAATTATTTTGATTTAAATACTCAATCATCCTTCTGGAAGGGACCACCCATCTTGTTCTGCCCTTTATGCCCTCCTTCCCCCAAATGGAGGACCGCTGCTGGGTGCTGAGTGGGGGTTTCCCATCATGCACTGCTCCTCAGATACCAGATCTGAGCCTCAGGTTAAGAGAACAAGACTCAGATTTTAGCCCCCAAGGACAAAGAAGGAGAGAAACTGTAAAGGCGGTAGAGGAGATTCAGGGGGCAGGGATAAGGTAGAGCAGCGGATCTGGGCTCCTGGACACAGAACCAAGGCAGAGAAGGACAAAGAAATTCAAATAATCTCTCAGGAACCAGAGAGGTAGTACCGCGGGAAGGGCAATTGCCCTGCACATAGCTGACCCAGGTTCCAACCCCAGCATCCCTGATGGTCCCCCAAGTGATCTGCTGGGAGTGATCCCTCAGCACGGAGCCAGGAGCAAGCCCTGAGCACATCCAGGTGTGACCCCCAAATCAAAATAAATAACAGAAGAAAAGAAAATAATCTCTCCTACTCCTCAAAGCCTGAGTTCGTGGCAAGGAACACAATGCCTAAAATCAGAGATCAGAGAACTGAGTGGGGGACAGTGAGGCCCCTGGACGAGGGCGTCCACTGTTAGGGCATTGCTCCGTGGCAAGGAACACAATGCCTAAAATCAGAGATCAGAGAACTGAGTGGGGGACAGTGAGGCCCCTGGACGAGGGCGTCCACTGTTAGGGCATTGCTCCAGACAGGACGAGTGAGCTGGGGTGGAAGGTGAGGGTTAAAACACGCACGAGGAGTGCGGGACATGGTGGGCAGGACAGCGCTGAGGCGGCAAGAGCCCCAACCCAGGACTTTTCCATACCCGCTCCCACTCCTGCACTTATTTACACACTCTGGGCCACTCCCCACACAGCCGCCTGACCTGTGGGGGTAGGGGTGCGGCTGTTATTGACGGTAGGTGGAGCCCCCACATACCCACTAAGTTCCAGGGCACCCAGGTCACACAAGGCTCCTGTCCTAGGGCTCCAGAAGCGGGAGAGCCACAAGGGGGAGGCTAGGAAAGGGATGGCGGGGAAGCACAACAGAGAGGGTGTGCGGATGCTGGAGGACACACAGCACGCAGGCCCAATGTGACTGACCCTCTGCACCTGTGCCAACAGGTTCCTGTGGGCCCGCCTCGGGGAGCACCACCTGTGGCAGTGGGAGGGTCCGGAGCAGCTGTTCCGGGTCACAGAATTCTTCCCCCACCCCAGCTTCAACGAAGATCTGAGTGCCCACGACCACAACCATGACATCATGCTCATCCGCCTGCCCAGGAAGGCACGCCTGGGCCCGGCCGTGAAGCCCCTCAACCTCAGCCAGACCTGTGTGTCCCCTGGCACCGAGTGCCTCATTGCAGGCTGGGGGGCCGTGTCCAGCCCCAAGGGTACACAGCACCTCCCTGACTCTGTGTTGTCTGCGCCTGCCCCTCTGTCAGCTCTCTGGCTGTCCTCTGCCAGCAATTCCGCCACATCTAAGACACTGGACATAAAACAGGCCCCCTCCTGGCTGCCTGCCCACTGAGAGCCACCAGTGAACTCTGGGGACCCCATTTCTTAGCTAGGTCTTCAGTTCAGAGACGTTGAAGTGTAACACTCCTGGCAGCTCACTGCCAACCCGGCAGGTGTGGCCCTCCACCCTGAGCACTGCTCCCCCCATCTTCACCTTGGAGTAGAATTAGAACATCCCTCCCTCTCTATAAGCCAGCAACCTTGCCAAGTCTGGCTTGAATATCAGACCCAGTTATCTGGATCAGGGAGGGGGATGTAGCAGTGAACAGGCCGGAATCCTCTCCCTGCCAGTGTCTAATCTAAGAGATTTAAGCACAAACCAGTTATCTGGAGAGACTTGAAAAAATTTCACCAGCTGGCCAGGGAGGCTGACATTTCCCATAGAAGAGTAACCCGGTGTCTGACCTCAGCAGAGGCATCCTTGGACAGCGTCCTTGGACAAGAAGTGGGTCCTCTGCACCTGCTAAAGTTCACCCCAACCTCCACCGCTCTCCCCTCCACCCCCATCTCACCCTCTACCACCCACCAGCCACTTCTTTTTTGGGGGGGCGTTTGGGATTATTTATTTTGGGGCCACGCCCAGTGATGCTCAGGGATCACTCCTGGTGGTGCTCAAGGGACAATATGGGATGCTAGGGACTGAACCTGGGTATGCCAGGTGCAAGGCAAGAGTCCTCCCTGCTCTCCTATTTCTCTTACCCCTCCCCCCATCAGAACTGGGGGCCCAGGAGCTCACACACATTCGTCCTCTGGAAGGAACAGTTCTGTGTCCACGGGCTGTCTGTGCTACTATCATTGTTTCAGCTTCTCTCAAAGACAGTAAACGTTCTCCTGAGTCATCCTCCTCCTTTGGTATCTCTGGCCTGTGGCTGCCCGTGTCCTCATGGTTTCGCTGGAAAAACTGTCTCTGGCCATGGTCTGTCCACGTGTCTGTCTGTCTCTCTAGTATGTTCTGTCTTCTTTTCTCTGGCCTCTCTGCCTAGTCTTCTCTCTCCCTCCTCCCAGCTGTTGACTGCTAAGATCTGGTCTCTTGCTCTTCTGCTGGAGAGCCCTAAGCTTTGCCTCCAGGTGGTCCTCAGGAGGGGGTTGGGGGTGGGGGCGGGTGCTGTTTGAGGCGTGGGGGCGGCCGCTGACCAGCTGCTGGCCTGCTGCCCACAGTTGAGTACCCAGTCACGCTCCAGTGTGCCAACATCAGCATCCTGGAGCCCAGACTCTGCCGCCGGGCCTACCCGGGCCACATCTCGCACCGAATGCTCTGCGCCGGCCTGTGGGAAGGGGGCCGCGGTTCCTGCCAGGTAGGTGCAGTGGACGGGGCGGGGAGGGTCATGGCTCGTGGGTGCCGGCCCAGGATTCCCCCCCTTCAAAGGAACAGAGGAAAAGGTGGGACTGAAATGGGGCTGCCTTTAGGGTCTGAGGGCGGAGGGCGTGAATCCAGAGCCTGAGGGTGGAGGCGCTACAGAGCTGGACGCTCGGGCTTGGTGGGGGCGGGGGGATGGGAGCAGGGCGGCCCATGTAATCGTGACCAGGTTCTGCTCCGCGCACAGGGTGACTCAGGGGGCCCCCTGGTGTGCGACGGCACTCTGGCAGGGGTAGTGTCCGGGGGCGCCGAGCCCTGCTCCAGACCCGGGCGCCCCGCCGTCTACACCAGCGTTTGCCACTACGTGGACTGGATCCGTAAGACCATGCAGGAAGACTGAGCCCTCGAGTGCGGGCGGAATCTGCAGAGTCCCAGTATCCGCCAGCCCCAGCCTGGGCCTCTGCTGTCGCGGTCACTCGCTGGTCACTCAGCCGCGACCCTGGGACCCGGGCAGAGGCTCCCGGTACCCGCCCGTCGTGACCCGCCCGGCTCCGTGACGTCACCCAAACTGGACCCACCCCCTTTGGACTCCGCCCCACCGACCCGCCTTATTGCCCCGCCCCTCAAAATACGGACCAATGATATTTCTCGATATGGACTCCGCCCTCCGTGGCCCCGCCCATCACGTCGAGGCACCTCCCCATGACGTCACGGTGGTGGGCTCGGCTCTCGCTCGCTCTAGCTGTCTGGGTCCGCCCCGCCCCCGCGCGGGCGTGTCCTGGGTTTGAAGTCCCGGCGGGAAGCGGCGTGGGAGAAGCCGTGGGGAGTGTCCCTTGCGAGCCAACCGGGAGGGTTCAATAAACGTGAGACGCCGCGCCCGCCTTTCTGCTGCTGCGCGTGGGGCTGAGCGGGGGGCGTCCAGGGGGCGTCCAGGGGCCGCCGCTGCCTGGCGGGGCCCTCGGAACCTTTGATTGAGCCCGCGCCGCCGCCGCTCTCCGCAATCCGATTGCAGCACGCCTCCAGGCTCCGCTCGGGCTGGGCCCGTCGCCCCCGGGGAAGGGGAAACCAGGTCACGGCGCCTCCCAAACCTGCCTTCCCGGCTCCCGGCGCTCTCCGCCCTGCTGGCGGGCCCGCCAGCAGGCACCCGTCCCTGTGGCAGGAGCCCCTCCTCCCTCAAGAGCCCACGCGCCAAAACCCTCTTTCCAGAGCAAAAATAAAAGTGAGAATTCATCCGCAGTCTCCGTCTTTCTCTGTCTACAAATCCAGCGAATCCAGAGCCCGGTCACCCAGGCATCGCCAGCTCCTTCCCCCAGCCCCGACCTGGAATGCAGCTGTCCGCGCCCCCAGCCCGGTTCTCGAGCCCCCGCCCCCCCGAGCCCCAACCCCCAGCCTCTCTTCTCCCCAGACGCCCCGCTTGGCGCGCAGCCCCTCCTCACTCTCGCCGGGGTTCCAGGCCCAGGATGCTCGGAGTGGAGGGGGCGGAGCGGGGGGCGGGGATTCCCAGTTAAAAGGCTCCAGATCCAGTACAGGGCAGACAACTGAGGTTCCGGGTCCGAATCAGTAGGTGACCCCGCCCCCTGGACGCTGTAAGTTCCCAGGCACCCGCATCGGGATGGCTCCTCCCCTCGGACCCGGGACCCCCTCTCTAGGGTCCTTCCTTTCCCAGCCCAGACACGGGGCCCAGGATCCCACTTTCCCTAACTTAGGTCCTGGCTCGCTCCTTCAGACCACGGGTCCGGGCCCTAACTGCCTCCCCCACCTCCGAAGGGAGGCGCCCCGCCCCCTCCCCCATCCCCATTCCCACGGACATAGGAATCCCGGTCCCCAGCGGACCCCAAGAGCCGCTCCGGATGTCCCGCTCCCTCCCCAAGCCCCAGATCCAATCAGATTTTCCTCCTCCCCTACCCAGACCCCGCCATGGAACAACCCCCACCAGCCGCTGCCTGCACCCCTACACTTCTGCTCTTGCTGTTGTGGTCGTCAGAAGCCTGGGCAGGTGAGGGGTATGGCTCCCCGGAAGGCACTGGGGACGCGCGGCCTTGGGTGGCCATGGGTGCGCCTTTGGGTGGCCTTGGGTGCGCCTGAGAGGCTGCCTTGGCAGTTATCTGCTGGGCTAGGGGGAGCAGGGGGGTGAGCATGAGTGGGTCTGCGCAGCAGGAAGGAGTGTCTGGGGCATGTTGCCAATTTGCAGGAACACACCCTTGAATGCAAGGTGAGGGGCAAGAACGTCCCAGGCATGTGGGAGCGTGCTTTGGGGAATTGAGGAATGGTGTGGAGAGGTGAGCTCTGAGCCCCGCGCTTTGAGAGCATTTGCCCGTGAAGGGGCTGGTGGATACCTGGGTTTCCTGCCCCCACCTCCCTGGGTCATCACCCAGAGGTGACCAAGCTCTCCCTCTCTCCCTCTCTCCTTCCACCAGGCCACTGGAGAGCACAGGGCTCAAAGGTGCTGGAAGGTCAGGAGTGCAGTGCTCACTCTCAGCCTTGGCAGACCGCCTTGTTCCAGGGTATCTCGCTGCTCTGTGGGGGGGTTCTCATAGACGAAAGCTGGGTGCTCACTGCTGCCCACTGTAAAAAACCGTGAGTGGGGCAGGCGGGCTGGGGGCTGGGTCCTCCCCACCGGCAGGAGGGAGTGGGGTGGCCTCTGGGGGAGGGTGAACAGGGGCCTCCTGCTGGGGTGCCAAGCTTCCTCAACACACAGGAAGTACAGTGTCCGCCTGGGGGATCACAGTCTGAAGAACAATGAAGGCACGGAGCAGGAAATGGCCGTGGCCCAGTCCATCCCGCACCCCTGCTACAACAGGAGCAGTGAGGACCACAGCCACGACATCATGCTCGTTCGACTGCGTGGCCGGGCCTCCTTAGGGCCCAATGTGAAGCCCATCAGGCTGCCTGACCACTGTCCTGAAGCTGGACAGAAGTGCACCATCTCAGGCTGGGGCACAGTCACCAGCCCTCAAGGTAGTGGCGGGGACAGAAGAAGGTGGTTGGCCCCCAGCTTTGCTCCTCAGTGGGGCTGCCATGCCCAGGTCATCCTTGTTGGAAACGCTGAGGGGCAAAATGTTCATTTGAGTGGTGGGGGATAAAGAGTGAAGAATACATTGTAAAAATGGTTTGGTGGGTAGATGGATGGATGCATGCATGCATGGGTAGATGGATAAGTAGATGAATGAATGCACCCCTCCTTTATAGGAGAATAGCATGTTATGACCCTTTATTGTATAGGATTTTATAGAATGTTTGGGAGGGGGAGCATTTCCGAAACAGTGCTCAGGTAGCCCCAGGGGCTTCTCTGGGCAGTTCTCAACCAGTTCACTGCAAGGACCCAAGGATGCAATGCTGCTCAGGCCCTGCAAGCCAAGATTGTCCATATGCAAGGCAAGTGCCTTAGCTCTTTTACTGTCTCTCCGATCTCTTACGTAACCTCCTTAGCAGGAAAAAGATATGGCTCCTCAGTGGCCCAAGAAAACAAGTGCCTAAGCTCTTTTCCCTTTGGAAGCCAAGATTCCTGGCCCCAGATCCCCTTGTCCTTTATCCCCAAGAGTCCAAGCCCTTCTTCCCCTGTAACCCCCAACAGCAGGTTGGCAGATTGCTCTTCATTCTGGATCCAAAAGTCTGGACATTCCTTGAGATCCTCCCTTCGGGATTCCAGGAAGCCCCTCCTCTGTTTCACTGTAAAAACATTGGGGCTCAGCTCAGATATGTGATGTGGTTCTCCATGAAGCAGAAAAGCCAGGATTTGCCTCCCTCCTAGTCTGAATCCATCTTCTAAGGAAGCAACAGTGTGTTGTGGAGACACGCCCCAGCCCCCCAGTTCAGGACCCGTCCAAGTCATGGTTCCCTCATCTCTTGCCTTATCTGCCAAAGGGGGAATAATTTTTCAATGAGTTTTCAATCCCATAGGTTACTTAAAGACTCACACCACATTCCTTGTCTTCATTGTCTGCTCCTGTGTGATGTATGATATTTATTGTTGGTGTGCAATTAATATGTGTGGGCTGAATGTTTGGATGAATGAACGAGAAAATGAATGAATCCCTCCTTTGTGAGTATTAACTGAGGTCGTGAGCTTATGTCACTTTTGGCATATAGAGGTGCCAGGAAGAACTTTTGCTGTACTGGAATCTGTCCCTCAAAGGCTCTCAGAAGATGAATTCACTTTCAGTTGTTAATTTAATCTTAATTTGTAGGCATCTGGTCTACCCGGCTGTTGTCAGATGCAAAGTCCCGTTCCTTACAGGGTCACTTGTTAGGGAAAGCCTACAGATAATAAACATGCCACATAATACTAGGCAGAATTAAATGTATGAAGAAATGTTTCGAGGTTTTGAGGTGAGGGAGTGACGGAGAGATGGTGTTCTACTTGGAATAGTCAGTGGAGCCTTCTGGGAAGAGATGACTTTTAGGCAAAGCAAAGATTTAGCTCAGACTAGGACTTAGTGGAATGGGGACAGGAAATCAGTTACCACAAGGGACATCACCCCCTAAATTACCGCAACTCCAGTCACCAGATGCTTCATTTGAAAATGACTCAGGGCAAGGAAGAAAAGGTAAATCCTGCCCTAGAAGGAGAAAAGGGGGCATAATTTCTTTAAGGGGGTAAGAAGGGAAGTGTTATAAAATGTCTCCCCTCAAATATACATGTATGCACAGAAAGAAAAGAGACGCAGACGGGGGGTGGGGAGCGGGGCACTTGCAACTGGGAGTTTACAATCTCTTCCCCCTCAGAGAACTTTCCTGACACCCTCAACTGTGCCCATGTGGAAATCTTTTCCCAAAAGCAGTGTAAGGAAGCTTACCCCGGCCAAGTCACGGACGGCATGGTCTGCGCAGGGGACAGCACTGGGGCTGACACGTGTCAGGTGAGTGTTTTTTAACTGGCTCGCAGAACAGGCCTGAAGCTTGAAAGAAGGGGAAAAAGAGCCCCCCAGGAAGTCACCTGTGTCTTGATAGAATGGGAAGCAGGTTTCCAGATAGGATTGTTCTCTCTGGAGGTCCTAGAGCAGCACTTGGAAATGTTGAATTGTCGCTGGTCTCTTCTTGGGAACCCTGCCAGCAAGATGGGGTGCAGGGCAGAGGTGGGCTCTCAAGGGGTGGGAAGAGAGGTCCATGAAGGAGCAGGCATGAGGTAACAGGGGTGTAAGTGTCTGTGTCTTTCAACGCGTTGGTTCCCAGAGCTGACTAGTAGTCAGCCAGTTGACTTTTTGACCTCGCTGGGCTCCTAGCGTGTCTTCTCTTTTTCTATAGTTGCTTCTTTGAAAGAAACAAGTGCCCTCTTCCCAATTGACCCAAAAATGGCATCACTGACCTCAGTGTACCCTGAGCGCCCTGTTCTTAAGATGACACATCTCAGGATTTGATACACACATAACGTTCTCTTTCCTATTAGCTGTAGCTCCAGTTCTTATGGGATCCCCTGGTTTTGTGCCCCTTCCTGGAAGC